GGGAAGACCTATTCACACGGGGAAGTTTGGCACCCCCATATCCATTTTGCTCTGCCTTGCATTCTCTGTACCTGCAGAGATGGTGTTCAGGACTGCCAAAGGGTTACGTGTCCTAAACAATATACTTGTGGAGAACCTGAAGCTGTAGAAGGAAAATGCTGCAAAGCGTGCCCAGGTAAAAAGAAAACCGTGGTTGCCTTTCCTTCTTTCAGTCTTTGCTGAGGTGCACAGGAGGAAGTAAGGATGGACCCAGCCCTCTATAACATGAGTGGGCTTTCGGCCCCCAGCCCCATTTTTGCAGCCCCTAATATCACCTCAGATGATATTGCTCAAAATCAGCAGGAAATTGTGGATTCTGCCAGCTCAAATTTTCACTTGTATTTCTCAACTAGGGGCACCCAGAGCTTCTGCTGGGTTTAGCACACTTACCTGTGTTTCAAAAATGCTACCCCCACCCCCAACTAAAACGATTGCCTCTGGTTCCCTCTAGGGACCTCCTAGGGGTTCACTGATAGGCAACCTTTTGAGGTTGTTGAGCACCGTTTCGATGTTGTGAGTACTCTGACAAAATGGCTTTCATCGTAGGCATGGCCAGTCACAAAACACTTGTTTTTCAGAAGGTAAACTGCTGAGGTTGCCCCAGATCACCCTCTCTAAAAAAGCCGATGATAAACTGGAGTGGTATGGAGCTGATACTCTGTACCACTTAAGTTTATCATCGCCTTTTTTTTCTTTTCTTTTTCTTGAGCTGCTGGGCCTACTTTTAGTTTCTGAGAATGCTTCTGGAGCTAGGTGGGATAACAGAGGCTGGAGCATCCTGGTGCTCTATTGCTGTTTTCTCAAAATCACCTTAAAAAGGCTTTTAAGTAGGAGGAGGCAATACCTTTTGACCTGGGAACTGAAATTTGCAGTTTGCAGGAATCTTTTCTGTGATGCTTTGGCATCACAGGGTTTTTCTGGATTTTGGATTGGGTAAAGATGGAAACTGATTCACTTAGTTTCACATCTGTTTAGCATGGCTGTTGTGAACTTCAGTTTAACCTTCTGGTGTTAAAAATATGCATTGCTAAATAGCAACCTTTTTGCCACTGAGTTTGGGGGACACCGTTTTGTGGGTCTTCTGCCCTAAAGTCAGGGGGAGCAGGGGGTTTTGTGGGTACAAGGAAAGCATCAACAGGCACCATCTGGAAATATTGTACTACTTCATGGTGACAGTCCCTGAACCTAGATTACAAGCAAATGCTGTGCATCAGATCTGGGACATTTTGACAGCCAAAGCCATAAGCTTCAGGCTGAAGACTATCCCCCAATTTTTATTAAAACTAACAAATGTTATTAAAAGGCAGAAGCTTTTGTACATGAAAGCTTATGCCTTCTAATAACATTTGGTAATCTGAAAAGGCGCTACTAGGTTTTTAAAATTTTGAGTTACTATAAATTAACCTCGCTCTTCTCCTACAATGTCTCCAACAACTGGGGGAGGGGGGGGCATCTTCAAAAAATGGGTGGAGACCAAGCCAAAAACATACATTCAGATTAATTTAGACTTGTTAACATTCCATTAGATTAATTAACTGCCCTAATATATGGTTACACCCCATGAGTTATATTTTTTAGAGGACAAAGTGATGCCCACCAGGGGACTCGACACTACCCAATACAGGGCGTCTGTCTATGTCTTTGCTCCGCTGCCAACTTTGTCTGGCTTTGAGAATGCCAAGGAGAATTTAAGGAAGATGGTGATCGAGAGGGGGTCCTTGCCAGATGTGGAAATCTATACCTGGAAGTTCACAGGAGGTGAGTCCCTCTTGTGAAAATGCAAGGGATCGACTGATTTGCAAGACCAGGTTTCTCAGATCCTGGGCACCTGGTTGCTGTCCTCCAATCTGGGCTTATAAGTTCCCCAAATGCATCATGGTTTGCCCCCGGATGACTCAGGAGGCTGGCCTAGGTGGACCAAGGGCCTGATCCAGATCTTCTCCTGTTCTTATGATAGTGGTGTTGATGGTGATGAAGATAATAATAGTCATCAGAACAACGCTTCCAGAATTTATTTCAAGCCAAGTTTCAAACCCACTCACTCACCCACTCACCCAGTAATTTCACCCTGCAAAAATTAATCTGTTATTAATCCCCTAAACACCCAATTTCAAATCCTGTTGCAAAAAGCGAATTCTGGCCTCTCTCAGTAACAAGATAATCTCACTCACTCACTTGGCAGCACGTCATCAGAACAACGCTTCCAGAATTTATTTCAAGCCAAGTTTCAAACCCACTCACTCACCCACTCACCCAGTAATTTCACCCTGCAAAAATTAATCTGTTATTAATCCCCTAAACACCCAATTTCAAATCCTGTTGCAAAAAGCGAATTCTGGCCTCTCTCAGTAACAAGATAATCTCACTCACTCACTTGGCAGCACTGTAAAAATTTCTGTTTGTTTATTCAATTTTGGCCTGTTTTAATCAGTCTATTCTCAGTGGGTTACGGTCAGTATTTTGCAATAAAACATATGTGTGGCAATCGAAAGTAAATGGTCAGAAATTCAAATGACAAGACAATGTCCAGAATGTGGGTTCCGACAACAACAAGCCCAAACAAGAAGAAATAAATAACTGGATGGCATTTGCATGTCAAAACCCCTCTTAACAATTCTAAAACAATTTTAAAACAATTTTAATAATGACACTATTTTATTAGATTTGTAGGCCACCTGACTCCACCCCTCTGGGCAGCCTATAAATCTAATTTATATTCAGATTTGTACGGTCTTTTCATCCATCCCCACTAGGTAGCAGCCCCTGGTTCACTTTGCTGGTCTTGAAAAGCTAAGCAGGGTCAGATCTGGTTAATATTTGGATTGGAGACCACAAGGAAAGATCAGAACTGTAGGCTAGACTGGGAAGCTGGAAAACACCCAAGGCCAAGGCAGTGGCAATCCACTTCCATACTGCTGTCAAAAAATCTACATGGATGTCTCTGTGAGTCAGCAGGGCAGAGCTTCACTATTCACTATTTATTCAAATAGTTTTTCAGTACAGCAGACTTGATGTCCCCCCCTACTTTAGGTTCTGGCCCCACCCACTGCTTCCTTTGGCTCCGCCCACTGCTAGTGGCACATAATGGATTAAGCCTGCGGGAGTGTGGCCCTTAATTTCCAAGTTTGGGAACAGTGGAAGAGAAAAATTCAGTGATGCAGGCAAAACAGGTCTTGTCTGTCTTATTAAAAACAGTGTCATTTATTGAGGGTTTTTCTTACACCCAGTAATAAGGATTGGATACAAGAACAAAAGCAGCAAATTATCTTGGTTTGTTGCTTGTGTTGCAGGAGAAATCTGGAAACAGGGATCAGCCCTCCCTAAGCTATGGGAATTGTAGTAGTAGTAGTAGTAGTAGTAGTAGTAGTAGTAGTA